TGAACTGTTTTCACAGACAATGATTTCTGGAAGTGTTCCTGAGCCCATGCAGTGATTTAAAGTACTGAATCCTGCCTGTTTTTAATGCAGTGCTGCCTGAGGGCCTGAAGATCACGAGCATCCATTTTTGACCATCTGCCTTGTCCCTTGCACACAGGGATTTCTCCAGATTCTCTGAATCTTTTGATGATATTATGTACTGCAGGTGGCGGGATATCCAAAGTTTTCACAATTTTACGTTAAGGAACATTTTTCTGAAATTGTTCCACAATTTTTGGACGCAGTTTTTCACAGATTGGTGAACCTCTGCCCATCTTTGCTTCTGAGAGACTCTACCTTTCTAAAATGTTCTTTTTTATACCCAGTCATGTTAGTTGCAAATTGCTCCTCCATATGTTTTTTATTAGTACTTTTTACTTTACCAGCCTTCTGTTTTCCCTGTCCCAACTTTTTTGAAAAGCGTTGCTGCAATCAAGTTCTATTTGAATTCATGTTTTTTCATGAAATGGTAAAATGTTTCACTTTCAACATCTGATATGTATTCTATATTCTATTGTGAATTGAGATTTGCAAATCATTTTTTAAATTTAAAAAAAAAATTTTAAATTTTTTTATTTACATTTATTTACATTTTACACAGCATCCCAATGTTTTGGAACTGTAAAATATAACACCTGAAGTACACCTGAAATGTAGCTCACCTGAGATGTAAATATTTGTCCATACTCTTTTTCATCAGCCAGATTTTATTGTCTATAGTAAGAGACATGTTGAACTTTTCTTAATGAAAATTTTCTTACTGTAAAAGTATTGCTGAAAGATGTAGCTACTAGTGTACTGTATGAGTATGACCTTGTTAATATCCAAACATTTCATACTCACTTTGTGGCTTATCATTCAGACAAAAATGTCATATTACCAACTACACAGCAAATAACTCATTGTAGGAATACAATAACGAATTGCAGGGTTTCTGTCTTGCAGTTCTGTAATAATCTATAATATGCATGGATGGGATGTAACAGAATATAAATATTGGGAACCCAAAAATTATTCAGAACACAAAACATATTCAGAACACAAAACTTTGATATCTGGATTCAGTCCAAGTTATATTTTGAAAATGCAGTATTCAGAATACAGTTACTTTTTACATTTTTAAGAAAATACTTTTAAAGTACTTACTCACTGAATAAAAAAACATACAATATTCAGAAGAAACATCATCAATGTGTATTTAACTTTGAACTATAGCATGTAGCAACCATGCTTGTTAGATGAATTCTAAAGAGGACCTCAATGACTTCTTTACAAATGCTAAAGTTTCTACTAAAGCCTGAGTGGAGGGTTACTGAGATCTTTTGAGGAATGATCAAACAAATAATCTCCTTAGTAGTGAACATGTTTGTGAATGATATATTTAGCATCAGTATTGTACCATAATGCTTGAGGGATTAGCGGCAATGAACTGAAGCAGGTGGTGACAGAAAAAAAAGTTCCATTTAACCATGATTCATGAACTCAGGTGGAGGATATTTGAAGTGAACATAAAGCTAACCTTTCTATTTTGCCATGTCGCAGATGAAAAGAAATGAGATGAAAAGGACATGATGCAGAAGACCCACACCTTTATTAGGACAAGAGTGTGGAGAAGCAAGTGAAACAGCAGCAGGGAGGACAGAGAGAGACAATCATGTGGCAGATGATGAGTGGAGACAGAGGAAATACAAGAGGAAGAGAGCAGAGTGATAGACATAATACAGGGACAAAAGAATGTTGAGGAAGATTGAGTTCTGTGTACAACTGTGCAAAACTGCATCAGTGTTTTAACTTAGTGAAATTTTAAATCAGCCTTTATTTTCTTAAGCGTGTCCAGAGAGAATCTGCAAAACTGTCAGGAGTGTTTGTGACGGTCAGCAAAAATAATTTGTTCAGATTTGTGTTAATCTATTAAGACAAATAGGTTCATATTTGAATTAGGGTTAGTTGTTTTGGCAAGGGTATGCTTATGCTTATACCCAGGATGTGCACTAACACTAGCTGGCTCAGGAAATGCTTTCACATAAAAACTACACATAAATTTTTATTCAACAACTTTATGATTTACATTTTTATTAATGAAACCAAGCTCACACTCTTGACCTAGATCCGGCTTTTCACAAATATTGGGTGCACTTCATTTATCTCTGCAATCTCACCACATTTACATACCAGCAAGGGCAGAGAAACACATTTAAATGGGGTGTCGGCAGCACTTTTACTGGCTCTTGTGTAAATTACTGCGCAGCATGTCTACAATTCAAATGAAGATTATTGACACTAGAAATTGTTGTAGCTATCCTAACACATTCTTTCAGATTCAGAAAGTACTCTTCAATTTTACTGTTCTTTTTCAGGGTTTGCATGATTTCCTATGTATCATTTCATTATGATATTATGCAACTTTCCAGACCGAGCATGAGATTTTGTGCAAAAGATGTCAGATTATGTGCCGCTTCCAAATGGAGCAGAAATATGGCAATATAATAATATAATATATTTATATCTGAAATATTTTTGTTAACACAGGAAAAAATGTTTGCAATAAAGATTTGTGCACATTTTTCTAAAACTGTAAAGTTTTTTGCTGTCTAGACAGGCAATATGATAGGACAACTATATAAAGCTCATCTATGATACACTATATGGACAAAAATATTGGGTCACCTACACATTACACCTACAGAGGCAGCTATAACAGCTTCCACTCTTCTGGGAAGGCTTTCTCCAAGATTTTGAAGTGTGTCTGTGGGAATTTTGCCCATTCATCCAGAAGACCATTTGTGAGGTCACACACTGATGTTGGACAAAAGGGGCCTGGCTCGCAATCTCTGTTCTAGTCTATGCCAAAGGTGTTCGATGGGGTTGAGGTCAGGGCTGTGTGCAGGCCAGTCAAATTCTAACGCACCAAACTCACCTAACCATGCCTTTATGGACCTTACTTTGTGCACTGGGGCACAGTCATGCTGGAACAGAAAAGGACCTTTCCCAAACTGTTTCCACAAGTTTAGAAGCATACAAATGTCCAAAATGTCTTGGTATGCTGAAGCTTTAAGATTTCCCTTTACTGCAACTATGTAGCCTAGGCCTACACCTAAAAACAACCCCATAGCATTATCCCTCTTCCACCAAACTTTACAGTTGGCACAACTGATGTAAGGCTTGCATGCAGCTGCTTGGCCTTAGAAAAAACAATGCCATGAACAGAAAAGGGCCTTCGTCACACTGTTTCCACATGGTTGGAAGCATACAAATGTCCAAGATGTCTAAGTATGCTGAAGCATTAAGACCCCCCCCATTTACTGGAACTAAGGGGCCTAGGCCAACCCCTGAAAAACAACCCCATAGAATTATCTCTCCTCAACCAAACTTTACAGTTGGCACAATGCAGTCAGGCGGGTCACGTTCTCGTGGCATCTGCCAAAAGCAGACTGCCAAATAGAGAAGCGTGATTCGTCACTACACAGAATATGTTTCCAGAGTCCAGTTGTGGTGTGCTTTATGCCACTCCATCTGATGCTTGGCATTGTGCTTGGTGATGTAAGGCTTGCATGCAGCTGCTTGGCCATGGATACCTATGCCCTGAAGCTTCCAGCGCACAGTTTTTGTGCTTATGTTGCTTCCAGAGGAGGTTTGGAACCCTGCAGTTATTGAGCCAGCAGAGCATTGGTGTTATGCACTATGCTCCTTAGCACTTGGCAATCTCGCTCTGTAAATTTGCGTGGTCTGCCACTTTGTGGCTGAGTTGCTGTGGTTCCTAGGCTCTTCCACTTTTTAATAATACAACTGACTTGTTGCAACAGTGGCATCCTATGACAGTGCCATGCACAAATTCACTGAGCTCTTTAGAACGACCCATTCTTTCACAAATGTTTGTAAAGGCAGACTGCATGGCTAGGTGCTTGACTTGCTTAACTAATCTAATTAAGCATTAACCATTGCTCCGCCTGTTTTCCCCGTTTTGTATTATAATATTTTATACTAATGCTGTTTGCTATCTGGTGTCGACCAGAGGAGGATGGGTTCCCCTTTTGAGTCTTGGTTCCTCTCAAGGTTTCTTCTTCTTGCTCTTAGGGAGTTTTTCCTTGCCACTGTCGCCATTGGCTTGCTCATGGGAGCTTAGACCCAGATTTTTCTGTAAAGCTGCTTTGTGACAACACCTGTTGTAAAAAGCACTATATAAATAAATTTTGACTTTGACTTTGACTTTATACACCTGTGGCAATGGGACTGAATGAAACACCTAAATTCAATGATTAAGAGGTGTGTCCCAATACTTTTGTCCATGTATGTAAGAGAAAGCAAGCTAGTCAAATTACTTAACAGGCCAAGACAAAACCAGAGCCTAAACATGATTACATGTGGCACGCGGTGGAATGCAGCAAAACTGTAAATATTTTTTGCAAAAGGTAGGTTAAAAAAGGATTGATATTAAATGTCATAATATTTAAAGATAGTGTGTATCTATACACAGTAGTGGTTGGACCTTAGTATAATTGCCAAAACATAGTGATTAAATGTGTCACATAAGCTTGAGGATGCAGACCAGGCTACATTTTTCCAGTCTACAACTGTCCAGTTTTGGTGATCCTGTGCTCCGTTTTCTGTTCTTTGCTGACAGAAGTGGAACCCAGCGTCGTCTGCTGTTGGCTCTAGAGACTGCTGTTTTGTTGGCCATTGTGTTTAGCAGCTGAAGGCAGTTGCTTAATTAGCTTTATGACTGTGCTTATGAAAAATGTAAAAAAATTGAGAATGTCAACAATCGCCATTGCAATCACAAAAAGAAGTTATGTTTATAGCAAGTTTTCACTCAATTCTGTGCCAGGGATCGGTCAACTCAAAATCTAAAACAGATAGGCCTGCCACCTAAGGAAAAAATTACAGTATGTAGTACAGGTCATGTGATACTGGAACACACCGGGTCCTAGGTCCCGCCTTCTGACGTGACGTCAGGGGTTTAGCAACAGTCAAACTACAAGTGAACGTGCGTGTGAGTTCAAGCGGCACGCAGTCTCTTTAGCACAAACACCGAAGGCTCAGTATAGGCGGGCGCTTTACCCTCACCTTGTCAGTAAGCAGTTGTTTCGGACCAACGTTTTTATTAGTCCACTGTTTTAACCTTAACGTTTATTATTTTGAACACACAATGGCAGATGCGAGAGCTTCTATCGTTGGTGAACCAGCCCTTGCTAATGGATTGACCGATCTCAAAAAGAGTACGCCGGAGCCAGTATCGTCGAGGTTAAAAAGGATTGTTGTGGCAAATTTGCTTGTGATACTGACAGTAACTGCTGTCATCATTGGCGTTTTTATTGGACTTGGCGTGCGAAACGCAAACCTGAGCCAAACGCAGATCATCTACTTTGGTTTTCCTGGAGAACTGCTAGTTCGCCTGCTGAAAATGATCATCATTCCGCTGGTTGTGTGTAGCCTTGTGTCAGGAGCTGCTAGCATTGACCCCAAAGCCTTGGGCAAACTTGGTGGCTGGGCCATGCTGTTCTTTTTAGTGACCACGCTTATTTCATCAGCTATCGGTGTTATTATGGCGTTCATTATCAAGCCTGGTTCATCTGACGGCACCAAACTTAAAGTCGCTTCAACAGACGCCCACGTCCCTGAGGCCAAGGAGGTGGTCGACTCCTTTTTAGACTTAATAAGGTAAGTACACTCGGACACGTGTTACCTACTTTAAGTAGTTCAGGTCGGCTGACAGCAATGCGGAAGTTAAGTCAACTGCATGGTGTATGAGGAACATCTAGCTAGGTTATATATATACCAAGCTACTAAATACACACCTTCGTTTCCTGGTGTCGTGTTACTACTGGTTTTATTTAAGTTACTCGTGAAATCAGAATGACTACTTCCTGATTTAATTACTTGTCGAGTAAATTTTGCTCCGCCACAACGCCACAAAACTTAATTTGTGATAATAAAATTATAACTCTTTACAGTGATACACACGTGCTAGTTTACATTGCCAGGATGAACTTGGTGATACTATACGGATTCGATTACGTTGTGTTGTAACGCCGGCGCTCAGTTGCATCAGCTGCTGACCATGTGTTAGCAAGATGACTAATCCGTTGTTGAAGAGATGGTATACAGAAACAGTCCTGCCTATGTTCATAAGAATGAACTGATCATAGCATTTCGCGTTGGCTGATGAACCTTGAGAAGCTCTATGATTTACGAATGAGGCTCGTTCGTATTGTTTGTTTAGCGGTGTACATGCCCGAGGCCAGTTTTGACACATTTTAAAAAAATATCGTGTGTAAAACGGGCATTTGTAGTCACAAGTAAGAAGTTAATTTGCTTGTATTGGGTCTCATAGGCCATTCCATTTTAAGGGGCGCGTCACCAGTTGTCGCAGATTTTGCTTCCACCTTAAAATACTGGCTGCGTCCGGACAACGTTTGCTATTTTTCCTGTCCTCCCTTTTCCTTGCTGCTGCCCCTCACTTCCCCCCTTCTTTGCTACTGCCCATCTCTTACACCGGAAGCATCAAGAGCAGGAGGAATAGTGAATATTTATTTTAATGCAATTATTTTGAACAGTTCAGTGAAGGGCTTAAGAAAACTATTCAAAGCTGAAATAGTGCACTGAACAAAACAATACAAGATAGAATCGCAAACTCTTACGAAGATTAAAAATAAATAGATAAGGAAACAACTAAAAAAAATTCAAAAAGACAGAAAATATTGGAAATGAACGAGTGATGGAAATGATCCTGGAATGTGTTACTATACATACAGGAGAAGAAAACATGTTCAGTTGTTTCAATATTGCTACCGCAATATACATCATTTATGTCTATTTTAAAACATAAGCTTTTTCAAGGTGTAAACGTTATTGAGGATTTTTTTTTTTTTTTTGGCTGCATTAATAATGGACACTGTTCTTCACTTTCCTAACTGTTTAAATTGTTTAACATAAAGAGAGGAGAGACATACTACTACTACTACTACTACTACTACTACTACTAATAATAATGATAATAATAATAATAATTATTATTAATTGAAATTTGAATTATTATAGTGCTTTTCTCAAACTCAAAGTAGCTTTACAGAGGCAAGAAAAAAAATCAGTAAGGAGAAGAATGAAAGCGCTGAGAAAAGAGGTACGTTTTAAGTTGAGCTTTAAGGAGGAAAATGACGGACAGTCACAGAGAGATTGTGGTAGTGTTACCTAGTTTGGGGGCTATGACTTGCCTTTTAACAGTGACCAGTCTAAATTTTGGGTTTGGGCAGGGTTCGAGCAGGGCAGTAAGGGTGCAGGAGATCAGCTAAATAGGATGGGGCTAGACCATGTGGAGTTTTGTAAGTAAGAAGGAGGAGTTTAAACTGCATACAAAGTGGAATTTTAGAATTGGGGTGATATGGGCTGATTATTTTTTTATTTTTTATTTTAGAGTGAGAGAGTATTCTATCAGCTGAGTTTTGTAAATACTGAAGAGGCAGATAGTTTTGTAAGGGACACCAATATGAAGGCGGTTGCAGTAGTCTAAGCGGGATGATATAAAAAGCATGGGCCAGAGAGTCATTACCATTTTATGAAACTATAAAGATAATACAAGATAAATTTGTCTTATTCTGAATTTTTTAGCATTGTATTTAATATTAAATTGTTTATTGTAACATAAATATGAAAGTATTTGAGTATTTAAGTCTATTATTTTGGTACTGAGGATTTAAAGGGATTGAAATTTATGTATTGCCACGAGTTCACATTTATTCAAATTCTAAGATAAATTTGAGGACCCTTGAAAATGGACTAAATTAAAAACCTTAAGAATTTGATTAGTGTATCAAATAAGGAATCAGGAAATTCAGTAAATTGGCTAACTGACTTACCACTTGCTTTCCAAAAACAGTTAATCAACACTTTCATCATTTTAATTAAAATGGAGAGCAGCAAATATAAAAACAAAACATCAATTTCATCACCCTTTTTCATTGTATTGTATTAAATATCTGAAGTTGTTTTGAATCATTCTGCCCTTTATTCAAACCAAACTGAGTTTTACTTAGAACTTTACGTATTCCAGATTTTAACCTATAGGTGAACATGCATTCAAGATTGGTGAACATGCAAATATCTTGCAAAAAGTCACCATTTAAAAGAACAAAGGCTCTAGATATTTTCTAAATATCTACAGCCTTTACTAGGCCTGGGCGTTTAAGTGATTAGACCTTGCTTCATTGTTGTTAACTTTATATTATTAATCATTTCACAGAAGACAACGATAATGTTTACTTTACATTATTAATAATTTCACAGAAGACAACAATGATGGTTTTGCTGTAGTATTTAAAAAAATAAGGATTTAAAATTTTTAGAGCTCTTATTCACTAATTCACAAATCTCTTCACTGGATTTCACACTGGCAATCATAGACCTAATGTATTGACAAAAACCAGCATCCAAAAGCAGGTTAACATTAAATTTCCAGTAACTTTTGTTATCCTTTGTTATCCCCATTATACTTTCTGTTGGTTTGGACCAGATGGGATATTTGTGCATCAGTGAGCCCTGGGTGCCTAACCCATGGTATGTGGAAACAGCCCTCAAGTTTTTACTGTTTCAGAGATGCTCTGGCCCTGTCCTCTTTCCATAATGATTGCCCTTGTCAAAGTTGCTCAGGTCTTCATGCCCGTCCATTTCTCTCGCATCCAGCACTTTACAGCAATTGCCAGCCAATGATCCTCCATATACCTTTTGGAATTTATAACATTACCAGGGAAATAATCAAATAAAATGGCTACCCCAGCAAAGCGACTGGTTGGCTAAATAAAATAATATCCCATCCACTGATAGGACCAAAAATTAGCTTCAGCCACTATCTTCACTGGGGTTAATTTTAAACTTTTTCCCTGATGTTGTTACAAATTTACATATGTCAAAAACTGTGACCTAGCTCCTAGAGCACTAGAACACATTTCAAGCACTATATTAGGAGGCATGTTGGAGAGCTCAGTCTAAAGCATGTGCCATTTTCTTCCCTCCCACACGTACGTGTTAAAGTGGAGAAATGGGACAGCTGAACCTTTTCAACATCAACTCTTAGGTTGATTATTGAATGCACACTCCTAAAACTCTTGGTAGCCAGTCACAGGGTCTACAGAGGGCTAGCCTATTTATATTTATGATTGGACTTATTCATTTTTAAAATAAACTTTACATCAAATAATCTAAACAATTGTTATCTTACAGCTGTATTTTAAATTATAAGAGAGTGGGGGCAATACACTAGTTAAGGACACAGGAAATCTTCAATAATTAGTGACAGGCATCTTTTTTCTAGGTTATTTACTGGGCTTTATTTGAAAATGTATTTAAAAGTTTAAAGCAGTCCAAAATAATAATCAGAAGATTTAAAGGGACCAAATCATGAAAAAAAACAAATTGTCCTTGAGATTTTTTTTTTTTCAAAAAGGAATTTAAGTTTGAATATTACTTATTTGTTCTGGCCTACATTTGATTGAATAGAAGTTCAAGTTTGCTTTATTGACCTGACAAAATTACATTTGTACTGTCAAAGCATTGCAACAATTATCTATGTAATAAAAGTTAAAACAGAAATATATGTAGTAGTATAACAATAAAGAAGAGAAAATGTCAGTTATCAATAAATAATATAAAAACCAAAACCTATTGGATATGTGCATGCAGCATGTAAGTAGAGGTAAAGTTATTAAATATATCTCTGTAATTAAGAAGAAAAACTATATAATTTTATAACAGTGAGGAAAAGAAAAGATAACATAATTCACTTTGTGCCAGTTTGCTACTGTTTCATTTTCAGGTGAGTTCCTATGCTAACGAGCATCTACTGTACCAGGTGCTTATGTGTGTACCCCCCCCCATACTTTTTCCTTCTTCTGCATGCTTTATCTTCCCTCTGGGTTGGCCTAGTAATAAAGTAAGAATAGATGAAATTTCAAAAGAAGAGGTAAAATAGTGGCACTCGGATCATATAAGACAAAATCTTGAAGATAAGACAAGGAATAAAGCTAAATTTGTCAAAAAAAAGATAGAAGACTGGTGTTACGTACTGCATACTGTTTTACATACTGGAGCAAAATGGGTTTTAAAGTTTTATTTTTCTCCCTGCTCAGGTGGAACAGCTGTGTGTTACTTACATCTTCCTGTTATAGGTTATGAAAATCTCTAACCTTGTATATGCTTACTTACTCCCTTGCAAAACATTAGTCCTGCCTGTCATCTAATGCTGTGCATGTGTGCTACTCATTACAAGGGCACCCAGGCTGTCATACAGTCCAGCTTGCTTTTTGGGCAGTATGGCCAATATGTCAGATTACAAGGTTTTTCCACATTATTGTTGGTATTGTATTTTCTAGTGCAACTTTCATGACAAATGTATCACTCCAGGACAGCAGCAATCAAAATGCAGTATTAAAATTTCAGGGTTTTTATTACACCAACCCATAGAAAACAACAAAGCAAGCCTTAATCAAATATGTCATGTCATTGAAGCAAAGCACTGCTCTTATGAAAAAGTTCTAGGAGTGCCAGTGGTGTGTCCAGATCAATTGTAGAGTGTGTCCAAGTTGGGCACAGAATCAGATTAAATCATTCAAACCATATATGTAACTGAAAATAGTAAAAAGACAACAACATTTCTCAGCTTCAACATTTGTATTGTGTTTTTCTTTTCAATATATGCCGATTTTGAATTTCATGCCAGCAGCATGCTTCAAAAAATCTGGGACAGGAGCATTTACCACTGTGTTGCATCACTTCCTTTTGAGGATATGAGGAGACCGATTGCTGTAGTTTTGAAAGTGAAATGTTTTACCATTCTTGCTTTATATCGGTTTTGAGCTGCTCAGCATTTCAGGGGGTCCTTTGTCATTTTTGTTGTTTCATAATGCGACAAATGTTTTCAGTCGGTGACAGATCTGGACTGCAGGCAGGCTTGTTTAGCACCCGGACTCTTTTACTACAGAGCCATGCTGTAATATGTACAGAATGTGGTTTGGCATTGCCTTGCTGAAATAAACAAGGCCTTCCCTTTAAAATATGTTGTCTGGATGGCAGCATATGTTGTCCCAAAACCTACATATTGTTTTGCTTTATTGCTGCCTTCACAGATGTGCAATTCATGCCATGTGCACTAATGCACCCCCATACTATCACGGATGCTGGCTTTTTAACTGTGCTTTTTAATTTTTAAATGCTGCATGTTTTGTTGATGTATAAATCTTTGTTAAATAAAAAAGTAACTGCACATGCCAGAGTATAAAGTTCTACAGTGAACTGGGCTGAGCCCCAGATCTTTACAGGCCCAGCCAACTTGTCTTCCTATTTGTACCACTGTAGAGTGTAGAAAGAAAAGGGTTTATCTGCTTGTAAATTTCCACCAGGTGCGTGATGGGAAATCTCAAAAATCTCATTGCAATCCTGCAAATAGTGACCCTGCAAGATCCACAGTCTTTCAAAATCATAGTCTGTGACTAAAAACTCTGTGACATTGTCTTAGAATACATTTTTGTACTTTGGTCCTGGCAGTTGTCTTCATGTTGCTTCAACCTGTATAGGTTTTAAATTTTAAGCACAAATGAATATTATAATTTAGGGGATCTGTCCCCTTAAGAGGAGTTGTCAGAACTTTCTACTTGCATTATATTTAGTTTAACACATTTATAATAATATTATTTTCCATTTCTGTTTCAGAAACATTTTTCCTGCCAACTTGGTGGCTGCTGCTTTTCAGTCTGTAAGTGCCACAGTTATCTAATCTTACCTCAGTGTACACAGTTCAAATCTAACCCTGAATCTTACTCTAGTGCACACTTCTACAGTAGTAAGCAGTGTTAATGCCATTATGCCACTCAGCAAACTAACGTCAGCAAAAATAGTACAGTAGACAGAGTGGTAATGAGAAAACGATTTCCCTAGGATGGGGAAGCACTTTTCCTCATAAAACTGGCTTAATTATTCATGTGACATTTCTTCTTCCCCACAGTATGCTACTGGTTATAAAATTGTGAAAAACAATATGAATACTACCAATGTGACTTTGGAAAAGGTAAAGTGAAAGGACAAACACTAAAACAACATGATGCTTGTAAATAATCCTGTGCAGATGTGTAATAAGTAGTACTTGCATGTAGGTTCCAGTGGGTACAGATGTGGATGGTATGAACATCTTGGGCCTAATAGTGTTTGCCATGGTATTTGGTGTAGCATTGAGGAAGCTGGGAGAGGAAGGAGAAATTCTCATAAAGTTCTTTAACTCCTTCAACGAAGCTACCATGGTGCTGGTGTCTTGGATCATGTGGTAAGAAAACAATCTTTTTGTCTCATATTTTGTAAAAATGTTTTGTAACTTGCATCACAGAGTGTGTGTGTGTGTGTGTGTGTGTGTGTGTGTGTGTGTGTGTGTGTGCGCGCATTTAAGGCTCCTGTTAAATCTTGCATGGAATGCCAACAACGTTGGTCTTTAATTGTCCTTCTTTAGGCTTGTGTTATACTGTATTTTAACTATGCATATGTGTACACATGATGACTGCCCCATACTCTGCATTTGTTTGGTGTGTTGGTTGAACATAGTCTGAGAAATGAATTTGACCTGTCTGCAAGACAAAATACTGACATAAATTGTGGGATCAGTACCATGCTGTGATGTGTTATCAGCAGCAGTCTAAACAAACCATGACTGCCACCATTTCTGTTTTCTTCTCAAGGTAAATAATAATATCTTCTCAACCTTGTTTATAGTTGCAAGCAAGTATGTGGACAATGCTGCTCACATAGCAGCTGTGTGCACACATAAGCATAGTCTAATACAGTTCAAAACTGATGTAGGTACTGTGTTTTGAATTTAGATGTTGTTCTTTAGGTATGCTCCACTGGGTATCATGTTCTTAGTGGCTGCTAAGATTGTTGAAATGGAAGATGTAGGAATGCTGTTTGCCAGCTTGGGGAAGTACATTGCCTGCTGTGTAGTTGGCCATGCAGTGCATGGCTTACTCATCCTGCCGCTCATTTACTTTGTGATCACTCGGAAAAACCCGTACACCTTCCTCCTGGGCCTGATTACCGCTCTGGCTACAGCTTTTGGAACCTCCTCCAGGTATGAACTTAGAGTAGAATTTAGCCCTAACCAAGCATTTAGCCTTCATGTGTAGGCATGATGGCTAAATAATTGGCATGCGTAATTGTTTTTTTTCTGTTTCGTTTTGTTTACATGAGCTTTTTGGTATATTGAAATATGAAGTTACTTTAAAATGCATCTAGAAGTCAGACAAATTTTGACCCATATGACTTTAATCCTGGCAACGTTTATCCAAGCCCTTCTTTCAGATGTAATACAGGTATAATCTGATGCTAAATATTGCACTTTCTAAGCATAAATAAGTGTCTCACATCAATGATGTTTCCCTGCATTCAGCTCTGCAACGTTGCCTCTTATGATGAAGTGTGTGGAGGAGAACAACGGAGTATCCAAACACATCAGTCGCTTCATTCTGCCCATCGGTGCCACAGTCAATATGGATGGAGCTGCCTGTTTCCAGTGTGTGGCTGCTGTCTTTATTGCCCAGCTGAATGATATTCCGCTCAACTTTGTCCAGGTCATCACCATACTGTAAGTGCCGTCATCTATTTGCTAATCATTTCTTTACTTTACCCTGACTGGGTAATATAAGCTATGAGTAAGAATTAGGTAGAATTTTTCATGTATCCTCCTCTTTTAGAGTGACTGCCACAGCATCCAGTGTGGGAGCCGCAGGGATCCCTGCTGGAGGTGTGTTGACATTGGCTATCATCCTGGAGGCAGTCGGATTACCCACTAATGACCTCTCGCTCATTTTGGCTGTGGACTGGCTTGTGTGAGTGAAATGTGGTAAAAGGAGGCTGAGACTAGGACGGGGATCTGTGGAGTGAAGCATGTTTTTGTACTTCAATGAAACCAAATACTAAAGATAATGTGCACATTTTTTCTCCTTTTTATTTTAAACCCTCTTTCCCCTTGTTCCATTGTTTTAGTGACCGTACCTGCACAGTCATCAATGTGGAGGGTGATGCTTTTGGGGCGGGGCTACTGCAGTACTTCACAGATCGGACCAGTAAAAGAGAAGGGATGGAGCTGAGTGAGGTGCGGTTGGGTGAGGAGGAAGGTCCCTCGAAGACTGAGGGCTCTCCGCTCATTGGAAAACATGTTGAACTGGAAGTCACTGGACCAAGGCCCTGTGACAAGGAGTCTGTCATGTAGACTGGCCAAATGTTTGATTATAAATGTATCTTTCTGCACCCTGTTCTTTGTAAATCTTCTTCTACTCCAAGGGGGAAATAGAGTTTAGATTTTTGGGAAGGGGAAAAAATTAAGGCAACATCCATTGTATCTCTTAGTTCAGTTCCTTGTAAAAAGAGTCTGTCCAAATCTACACACGAAAGTGCCAGGAGAGGAATTTTTCAAACGGATAATTTTTTCTAAAATGATTGTTTTATTGGAAGCTTGGTCCATAGATTTTATTTATTTTTCTTTATTTGTAACTGATACTTCAAATTGTGTTTTTGTTTTTTTTTTTCTCTGTTGAATATCTTTTTAATGGACTGGTCCTGGTTTTGTCTTGTATGAAACCTTTTTGAAGTGACAATCTGATGCCTGATGAGAGAATGAAATCTGTTTTTGTTTGCACAAATTTCTTAGTGGAATGACTTTCAAGTGTAAAAAAATTGTTTTCTTAACATCTGTCTTGTCTGAAATAGGTTCTTTCAAGGCTGCACACAAGAACTGCACCAAATTAAGCTGAACTTGACTGTAAAGGCTGCATCACTCCTGTAAGAAAAAAAACTGTAGAATCAGTTTTGTTTTCACAACTTTACTAAAGTCCTTACTTCTTTGAATTGGGCAATTTCTATTCTCAAAAATGACACTTAAAACATTAAGTGTATTTAATATATTTTTTTAAGATGTACTTTTTTGCATAATTTAATTCTATTGTAAGTATTTTACCATTACTTTTTGTACAAGTGTGTTAATCATACACTCAGAAAAAAAAGGTACTGTACTGTACTGTACTCTCAAGGGTCTTCAGTACTTTTAGTTAAGGAACATAATTGTACCATATTCCATTGCAGTTATGTTTTTTAATTTGTATTGACTTGTCTCCAAGCTTTATTTTTTATTGTTTTATGTATTTATTGTTTTATTATAAAACATTAGATTATGAAAAGATACAAATACCTATATCTGTCCTGGGGAAATCAGTATTTATGATACACAGTCAGATCACTGTTCTACCTTTGATAGTACATTTACATTGTGTGTACCTTGAATAAAAAATGTACCTGTACAGTACCTTTTTTTTTCTGACAGTGTATATTATTTTTCAAAGTAAGCCAAATAACCTCTCACTGACTTCTCTTTCAAAACAAATTACTGTTATATTTCCTACTTTTAGGTACACTCCTGCTGTTTTTTAAACTTTATTACAATGCTAAAGATTCTTGTCTATCACATGCTGGCTTTAAACAGACAGAAGCTTATTGCTGATTGCCATGCAAATATTTGTTAACAGGGTGATAGATCCCAAAACATCTCAGATTTGACAATCATTCGAAACACCCACGTTACCTTTATTGATAATTATTGAGCTTTTTTGCAATATGTTAACTTTTCTACAGACACCAGCAACTGTACCTCCCATTTTAGCCTATAGTCAGTACTGTTCAGGGATGCACATACATACCAAAGCATTGAGTGTCTACCTTTCTTTTGTCTCTTTGTTTTCATTTCAGTCAGTCATCGTTCAGTGTATATTATTATGTATAATGATTTAATTAGTCTTCAGGATATATCATAAATGATCACTGGATTTTAGTAGTTAAAATTGAAAACTCTGAAATGTGTCATAAGAGTTAACCATGTGTGCAGTGGTCTTAAAGGCTTGTCATTCCAAAATGTAGTTCAGTAGACTGCCAGTGTTCTATGTGCAAGAGTTGGTAATTGTGATGGCTAGAGCCAAAGAAAGTGTGTTGCAGAGTGCACACCTTACTGGCTTTAGAATAAAGTATTTTGTATTTAATTTTGTGGTGGTTAATTGTTTTTATACAGTATTTTAAACTTGGAAGCTTAACAAATATGTGCTAAAAGACATAGGCAAATTTTTAAGAGTGACTGAGACCGGACATCAATTATGTAATTCTATATAATTATTTAGACTTATTGTTGTGATTGTTTTTTGTTTTGCCTTTGGTATTTTGTGTTTGTAGCATTGTTGAATTTTTTTTTATTTATTTATTTTTTTTATTTTTTTTTAAGTCTGCATCAGCTAATTAGTATGGCTGATGAATGTGGGAAAACCAATCTGAATTCATGTTTCATACATGTCCCTAAGCTCAGCAGGCCGTTTAGTAAAGTAAAATGAGCCTATAGAATTTTTAAACCATTCAGTAAGTCATGATAGTAAAAACATGTGCCTGAACAACTTGTATAAAACTTTTTTCAAGTTAAAAGTAGTTATTTAGTTTGTGATTACTAGTTAGTCAGAAGTAAACAGAACTAACTTCCTAACTAAAAAGGAATGCAGGAAATAGTTATCAGCGGATATGGTCATCTTTGGAGGTCATTTGTGTGCTAGGAAATTAAATAATGAAGTTAGCTACTCTTCTTATCAAGCTGATGTTGGTTAGCCATCTAGCTAACTGATATCCAGCTTAATTAGCTAATAAGCTGCATTAAGACCGGCAGTGAAGCAACACACAACTGCAGAGAGAGAATGTTGTACTGCAATAAATACATATTAGGAAATGTATGTCAACCCTCTTGTTTCTTCATAATGCTGTTCCCCTCAAAATGATGTGTAGGAGTGTGGGTACACTGACCAGTTACTTCATTAAGTAATTAAGTACACCTTCATGTCCATTCTATCAGCTTCACTTACCATGTACGTGCATTTTGTAGTTCTAGTCCCCCTGCTTCTGCGCATAATTTGTTAGTCCCCTTTCAGGCTATCCTTCAGTGGTCAGGATCACTGCAGAGCAGGTATGATTTGGGTGGTGGATCATTCTCAGCACTGCATTGACACTGATGTGGTTGTGGCATGTCAGTGTGTGTTGTGCTGGTATGAGTGGAGTTTTTAAACACTACACAGAGAAACAAATGGATTTTAGTCTGTAAGTGCAATATGTTAAGTAGCACTGATAAAAAGGATAATGAGTGTAGATACAAGGAGGTGTACTTAACAAAGTGGCTGGTTGGCATATATATATATATATATATATATATATATATATATATATATATATATATATATATGAGCACACAGAGTCATCAGATTCGGCTAGACTACGAATGATATTTTCTGCTGTGTTATTTTATTTTAAAAGACCCTCAAAGTTAATTCATTTAAAGTGGTTTTGGCATTTCTAAGAAAATTTCCTAACTGGGAAATGCTGTACTGATAAGTATTAAACCCCTATGCTGTGGAATCTGAAAAGCTACGGAAATGAAGACCAAAGAGCATTCTAAGGAAATTACAGATAAAGTTATAGATATGCCTAAGATAGGAAAGGCCTACAAAATAGTATTCTAGTGTTTCTTTAAATTTAATTCTAAACATATATTCCAGGTTTAGTCACAATTAATGACTTTTGCAATGACAGTTCAGACTGGAATCCAACCCAGCACCTTTATATCAGAAGAGATGTTTTCATGATGAGCCCATGGCAACACTGCACTTTTTGAGACAATTTATTGGTAGTGGTCAATAACAAAGCACCATTTTAGAAACTAGTTCCCAGCTTTCAATTATTGTGATTATTGAGTAATATAATCAAAAACTAATTGAGATTACAACCTCTTATTTGTCATTTTGTTCATACGTGCGTAAGTCAGATCACACCGATTTGTTCAAATCTTGCAGCCACACAAGTCATGTTTTTAATGGTAGACTCCACAGATGCTAGACTCCACCTCAAAAAGGACTAATTAGCACATGGCAGCCATGTTGTTGACAGATATGCAGAGGTTTTTGATAATACTTGACCTTCAGATAATTTTTAAACCAATATTGTGAGGGAACCTGAAAAGTTCACAGAAGTTTGAAAATTAAGGATTTACATATTTTGCCAATTTTATGAATGTTTTTGTGGCAGGAAATAACTAGTTGAGTGGTGTGTTAATGTAGAATAAACCAAGGATTCTGTAAAGAATCATGGAGATATGGGTCATGACATTAAAGTTTGTTCTATAGTACCACCCTCAGCCCAACTGTGATAATTGCATCTCCCTGAGTTTTGGGTCACATACTCAAATTACAAATTAGGGTGACTTTACAGTGTCTTCCCCACAATGCGTCTCATTTAGAAAAAACAAATGATTGATTGAAAAGTGATTGATGTTAACAAAAAGGAACATTTTTTGATAACTTTTGAGTTTCTATCTCTTAGGATAAAAACCTCCTGTTGCTTAAAGATATGCCATACACTACATGGACAAAGGTATTGGGACACCTACACATTACACCTACAGGAGCTTTTGTGACATCCCATTTTAAATCCACAGGCATTATATGCACTAAAACCTTAATATGCACTAAACCCCCCCCTAGCTATAACAGCTTCCACTCTTTTGGGAAGGCTTTCTACAAGATTTTGGAGTGTATCTGTGGGAATTTTTGCCCGTTCATCCAGAAGAGCATTTGTAAGGTCAGACACTGATGTTGGACGGGAAGGCCTGGCTTGCAAGCACCATTCTAGTACATCCCAAAGGTGTTTGATGGGGGCCTGTACTTCTGCACCAAACTCACCCAACCATGCCTTTATGGACCTTACTTTGTGTACTGGGGCACTGTCATGCTGTAATAGAAAAGAGCCTTCCCCAAACTGTTTCCACAAGGTTAGAAGCATACAAATGTCTAAAATGTCTCGGTATGCTGAAGCATTAAGATTTCCCTTCACTGAACTTAAGGGGCCTAGGTTGGTGACTTTTATGCACTACGCGCCTCTGCACTCGACGACCCCTCCCTGTAACTTTACGTGGTCTGCCACTTCATGACTGTGGTTCCCAAATGCTTCCACTTTTCAATAATACTACTTGCAGTTGTTTGTGGAATATTTAGAAGGGAAGATATTTTGCGAACTGACTTGCAACAGTGGCGTCCTATTGCGGTCCCACACTTGAATTCAGTGAGCTCTTTAGAACAACCCATTCTTTCACAAATGTTTGTAAAGGCAGACTGCATGGCTAGGTGCTTGATTTTATACACTTGTGGCAATGGGACTGAATTAAACCTGAATTTAATAATTAAGAGATGTGTCCTGATACTTTTGTCCATACTGTGTACTTTTGCAATGACACCAAGCACCATTTTAGCAGCTAGTGCTCGACTTTAAATTATTTTATGATTGCAAAGTTTTATTAAGAATTAATATTGCATTTCTTTCAGTATTTCATTTTCTTTTATATTCCAAATTTGGTCACAATTGCAAAATCTCCGACCACTGATTGATTCATGTGCTGTAACATTTTTTATGTACTTTCAAACTCAAGAGGTTGTTTCCAGACTAATTTTGAGATAACATCTTGAAAACTGAGATACTGGTTTGAAAACCGTATTTTTCAAACTTTGAACAATTGCAGGAAAACAATAAAGTTTTCTAAAAGACTTCAAGTCAAGTCAATGTTTATTTACATAGCGCTTTTTAAAACAGGCATTGCTGTAAAGCAGCTTTACAGAAAAAAAAAAATCTGTGTCCAAGCCCCCATAAGCAAGACAATGGTGACAGTGGTAAGGAAAAACTCCCTAAGAACAAGAAGAAGAATCCTTGAGAGGAACCAAGACTCAGAAGAGGAACCCATCTTCCTCTGGTCAACAACGGATAGTAAACAATAGCAAAAGAGCAACATAAATAGAACATAAGGTTTTAACCTTAGAGTAAAATATTAAAATACAGAAAAATGGGAAAAACAGCTGAAACAATGGCTATGAATAAATGTTCGAGTTTCCATGGTGGTTAAACTGGTCCAGAAGGCAGGCAAGCAGTGGGTACCCAATCAAGGCAGATGAAAGAACAGCATCAGTCTGCACAGGTTGGGCAGTTGTTCAGCTCAGCAAAGAAAACACACAGAGAGTTAGTTCTATTAAGAGAGACCGATTACAGTATGCATTGTTAACAGAGTGCAGCAGAGACTGCGGCAGATCTTGCTATTACAGCCTAACTAAAAGGCTTCTAAAATTGTCAGTCATGCTGCACTGCAGATAACTTACTGCATAGGTAACATGGTTAAAACAGTAACTTTCTAAAATTGGTCTCAGCCAAACAATCAAACTAGCTCATATTACTAACTATGGAAGTAATGAAAATTAAATGACCATTCTTTTAGCAAATGGAAAAATTTAGGTGTCTTTGGAAACCACACAGGTTTACCACACAGATGAATCCAAATCTGACATTTTGGTATCTTGGTATCTTTCAAAACTCACCAGGCACATCTGTTCACCAAAATCTGTCCACAGTGTATAGCAGTGGTTGCTAAGCAGTGATGGGAGGGCTAAGGAAAATGGAGCAGGTCTTGATACAAGTCTGACTGGCTCAGGCCCTGGTGTTGGCAATCTAGTCACACTCCTGCTCTGTAGAACAGTACATAACTTTTTTCACATGCTGAATACTATACTACCAAAGTAGCATTCATTATATAGTAATGGTGCAGTATGCAGTATGCTATTTTGAATGCAGCCACTATCTCACAGCATAGCACTCCCTCTCATATTATTGCATAAGTAGATGATGTTACTATGATGTAGGTGATATATAGCACATGGTTGTGAACATTGTTATTTTTGTGTTACTTTTACTGACTCTCTCATACATAGGTATGTTTTCTCATATTGACCACTGTGTGTCTGTTGTCTATGTGATTACAAATATAAAGTTCATTGCACTTCCCTACCGTCTGACCAGCTCTCCAGAGTGAACCACATCTGTAATAAAGACATTAAATTATTAATTTATTCATTATTATTCAGTACATGTGTGTTGTAATTGCATCATACATAGCAATATAATGGCAATACAAACATGT